GGGTTGTCCAGCCCAGGGCAGGGGTGGAGTCCCCATCCCTGGAGGGACTTCAAATCCCTGTGGATGTGGCAGCTGGGGACATGGAGCAGTGCTGGGGAATGGTTGGACTTGATCCTGGAGAGCTTTTCCAACTTCAGTGATTCCCTGGTTCTGTGACTCAAAGCTCCTGCTTGTTTTCCAGATCCACAAGGACACACCTGAAGTTCCCCAGTCTCAGATGGATTTGCTGCTCACACAAGACCCAAGTGGGCTCAGATCCATCAAGATCAGGAGCAATTAACAGCTGTGCATTGACTGAGACACTTTTATTTGTCATTCCTGTTTTAAGTTGTGTTTTTCCTCGGCAGAAATGTGCTCCCAGTGACCACTGAAGGCAACTGGTCCAGTCAGTGCTGTCCCACATGGACAGTCCTCTTAAAAAAGCCCATTATTTATTTGAACACATAAACTGTTTGCAGTTTTACACAGAACAGCTTCTCCTTGTGGTTGCAAATTGCTCCTGAGAGTTGTGAGCCGGGCTGGAGTTTATTTGCCACTGGTTAACAAATGATTTTGGGGCTCCAAACTTCTCGTAGCCTTTCCTAACTTTAATTTCTAATACTTTTCCTTTCATTTAGCACCATCCTTGAGAGAGCTCTCGAACAGCTTTGACAGCCCACAGAGGGAAGCCCCTGACATATGGATGGCTTTGGCCTGCAGCAAAGAGTCTTTCATTTCCACCTATTAAAGGGGAGCCATAAATCCTGGGGTACCTCAGCCCTGCTCTTCCCACAGCCAGGGAACCTCCCAGACACACCAAAACCACCCAAAGCCATTTGGAGATGGAATTCTGCCCATTTGCCCTGAAATCTTCATATGTTCCCATGTCCTGTAATTTCCAGTCCCACAAAACAATCATTAAAAAAAAAAAGCCCCCAAACCAAAACCCTGGCAGGAAATAGAGCTGTTGTTAAAAACCTCCATTCCTAAATATAAATCAGCAAGACAAGGGTATTTTCACTGAACTCTCCCAAATATATGAGAAGAGCTGCTTTCTGATTTGGGGCTGGGCATTTATTCACTGAATAAATGCAGTTTGACCCCTAAAAATAAATGCAGTTTGACCCCTAAAAATAAATACAGTTTGACCCCTAAAAAACACTTCCAGTGGAGAAAAATAAGGAAACTCAACCCCCTCAGTTTGGTGCTCGGTGTGAAGACAGAGGGATTCCCAATCCATTTATTCCCTTAAAAACACACAGTTCCCCCTCACAGAAAGTGGTTTAACATCTATACAAACCAGGCATAAAATCACATCCAGGGAACAGCTCCACGTCCCTGAAATATTCCCAAGCAGCTTTTATTTGGGAGCAAAGTGGCCACCAGCCAAGGCTTCAGCAAGATCTGAAGCCCCAAGGCAGGCAGATACTGCTGAAATGTTGGCTGATAGTTTATACCCAAATAAAAATGGTTTGCAAATATATCAAAGGGCACGTGAGCAGCTCTGTTGATGCAGAGTGGGGTTTTCATGGAGGCAGAGAAAGAAAATGCACAGGGATGAAAAAATCCTGATGATTATTGTGCAAAAACCACACTGGGGCAAATTTCTTCTAAGTGGGACTGAAGATTTTGGTGTCACTCTGGTACAAATAGGCTTCTACTCCTTGAGCCAAGACAAGAAGGGCTTGGAAAGAGGGAAAAACCAAAGATAAGGCCTCTCAAATATCGTGGTTGTTATTATTTGTGTGTTGCCACAAAGTCCCAGCAGAAGATTTGGGGCTTCAGGAGGTAAAAGAGGGACCAGATGAGAGACAAAACAATGTGTATTCAGGTTGGATATCCTGGGATCCACAGGGAGGGTTTTACCCCCAGAACAGCCCTATCCAGATGCAGGTTGTCTTGCAGGCTGAAAGGGAAATGGATTAGGTGTTAATAACATTATTAACCTCTTGAAGAAAATTATGTGGCCAAGGGGACTGTGCTAATGGGAATTTCATTCTGTTATGAGGTGGAAAAGGGGATGAGGAGCCTGGGGCACTCAGCCCACGCCACACCACAGAATCATGGAATCGTTTAGGTTGGAAAAGACCTCCAAGATCATGGAGTCCAACCATTCCACAGCCCTGCCAAGGCCACCGCTGATCATGTCCCCAAGTGCCACATCCACAGGGATTTGAAATCCCTCCAGGGATGGGGACTCCACCCCTGCCCTGGGCTGGACAACCCTTTCCACGAAGAAATTCCTCCTGATGTCCAACCTGACCCTCCCCTGGCACAGCTGGAGGCCGTTCCCTCTCCTCCTGTCCCTTGTTCCCTGGGAGCAGAGCTCTACACCCCTCGGCTCCCCCCTCCTGCCAGGGAGTTGCAGAGCCAGAAGGTCCCCCCTGAGCCTCCTTTGCTCCAGGCTGAGCCCTCCCAGCTCCCTCAGCCGCTCCCAGGATGATCCCGGCAGGATCAGGGATGGTCAGGACTACATTACCCAGCGTGCTCCGCGCATGCGCACAAACTCACCAACCCTTTCCCGCCGCGGAGCATCACGGGACTTGTAGTCCTTATCACCCCATGCGAAGTTCGCCCCGAAAAAGTTCCCGCACGGTTCCGGTACCTGTCGCTCCTCGGCCGGGGCCTCGCCGTTCCCATGGCAACGCGCCGCATCAGCCAATGGGGAGCGCCGTTCTACGTGCGGAGGCGCGCGGCGGGCCAATGAGCGGCGTTGTTGCTGCGGGGCGGCGCTGGCAGCGCGCTCGGAGAGTCTCCTTGGGGCCGTCCCCGGGCCGGGCCGAGATGGGCGCCGGCGGCAGCACCCGGCGGGTCACCTTCGAGGCGGACGAGAATGAGAATATCACCGTGGTCAAGGGCGTCAGGGTGAGCGCGGCGCCGCCCGGGAGCTCCCCGAGTCATGCTGGGGCGCTCCGAGTCACCCCTGGCCCGGGTTGACCCGCCGCTTCCATCTCCCTCCCCCCCCATATTATTCCGTCCCTGTTCCTGCCCCTTTCTCTGCCCCTGTCTCTTCCTGCCCCTGTCTCTCTTCCCTCCCCTCTCCCCCGGTGATTTCCCCCCTCTCCGCTGTTCCAGCCGGGACAAGGACCCCCGGGGGTGTTCCCTGCCCGGCGACCCGTTTTAGGATAAATGTGTGACTGGAGGAGCTGGGTTTGCCTTTCCCTGACCTCCACATGCCAGAGCTCCTCCCTTTCCCATGTCCTGCTCCCTGACATTCCCTGTGTCCGACTTCCTGTGCGACCGCGGAGCCGTTCCCTGTGTGTCCCTGTCTGTCGTCAATCCCAGGATGGTTTGGCTTGGAAGGGGCCTTAAAGATCATCCAGTGCCACCTCCTGCCATGGGCAGGGACACCTTCCACTAGCCCAGGTTGCTCCAACATGGCCTTGGAATCTTCCAGGGATCCAGGGGCAGCCACAGCTTCTCTGGCAAATCCTTCCAGCCCCTCCCCACCCTCCCAGCCAGCAATTCCTTCCCAATATCCCATCTATCCCTGCCCTCTGGCAGTGGGAAGCCATTCCCTGTGCCCTGTCCCTCCCTGCCTTGTCCCCAGTCCCTCTCCAGCTCTCCTGGAGCCCCTTTAGGCCCTGCAAGGGGCTCTCAGCTCTCCCTGGAGCCTTCTCTTCTCCAGGTGAACATTCCCAGCTTTCCCTCTCAAAGCTCCTCAGTGTCTTGTGAGGGCACCTGTTCATTTTCCTTCTCGGAGCCAAATGCTGAGACTCTGAGCTCTGGGGGGTAAAGTACATCTGATGGAACTCCTGTAATACATCAGGAAAGGACTTGTGACACAAAGAACTTCAGGAAACCTTGCAGCTTAGGAATTTTTCCATGGAAGACAGCGTGTAGCTCATCCCAGGGGTGACAATGACTCCTCTTTCATTGCTGCTCTCAGGGAGGTGCAGAACAAGCCCTGGCAGTTCATTGTGGCTCAGCACAGGAATATCTTTAATTCCTGGTCATTTAATACTCTTGAGGTGACAGTAATGTAAGTGTAACATATCTTTATATATTCCAGAGAGCAAAGATTATCTATCCCAGGTTTCTCAGAGAAGCTGTGGCTGCCCCTGGATCCCTGGAAGTGTCCAAGGCCGGGTTGGAGCAACCTGGGATGGTGGAAGGTGTCCCTCAGGTTGCAACTGGATGATCTTTAAGGTCCCCTCCAACCCAAACCATCCTGTGATTCCATGATATGAGTTGCAAATGAAGCTTTTATGTTATTAATTCTTTTCCTTGTATTCATTTTATCCGTGGGCTTCCACAGATCTGAAACTGGGCCTTGCTCTGTTGGATTCTGCTTGATTTGGGACACTATTTTCCCATTAACTTGGTGTTTGACTCCCCTTGCTTGTGCTGCACAATTCCCTGAGGGGCTATCCCAGGATTTGTGTCTCCTGGGACAAGTTCTTTGCACCTGCATGGTGGGATATTTGTGTCCAAATAACTGAGACAGGCAAAAACTCTGATTAATTCCAAGCCCTGAGTCCCGGGGTCCCTTTCCTTTCCCCTGTATCCTGTACTTTTCCACACTATTTCCACAAGAACCACCATCCTGCTGCTCAGTGCAGTTTTTTGGAGCTCTCACCTCTCAAATGAGAGGAAAAAAAGTTTCTCTTGCACTGGGAATTGAATTTTACCAGCTGGCAACTCTTCTATTGGCTTTCTGGGCTCTTTTTTTTGGGAGTTTGAGTTCATTTCCCTGGGAAATGGGATCAAAAAGGAGCCTGACCGTGCGTGGTGTTGTGTTTTCCAGCTCTCCGACAGCCTCATCGATCGGATGAAGGAACCCTCCTCACCCTCTGGGAGATCCCCCCGCTCCTCAGGTGCAGGTTTGCTCCTGCTTTTTTGGGCTTTTAGTGGGAGGAAGGAAGGAAAAATCAAATTTGCCCTTCAGAGCTTTGTAATGAACTCATTGCCCTTTTTGGAAGAGATGAGCTTCTTGACATTCACTTATTTTTGTGGGTTTTTACGTGAGTTTTTAAGTTCCTCTTGGTTTTCTTCTGACATTAAAGTGTCAAACATCTGTTCATCAGACTTGGTTTTCCACAGTGTTGTCGTTAAAAACTTGTTAAAAACACATTATTGTTAAAAACACCACAGAACAAGCAAATACCCAAATAATTCTGGAGTTCTGAAGGGCAAATTTTTGCTTATTTAATCAACACTGAGTTTTGTTCTGCTGAAGTTCTGTTGAAATGCACTCCAGCAAACAGTAAAAGGAAAATATGCTGTTTTCCTGTTGTGGAAGGGTGGAAATAAGTGACACACAGATGGATGGCTTTCTTTACCCCTTATATTTCATTACTGAGGCCTGTTCTGATGCATCAAACAGTGTCTGTGCCAGGCAGCTCTGATTTCAAATATTTCAGCACAGGCTGAAGGAGTGGAAATGAAGAGCAGAGATTGCAGCTGGAGATTTGGGGAAAACCTGTGAAGTCCAAGGAAGGCTCTTATCAGTGCTCCAGAAATATTCCTGATAACAGAATTCCCTCGGGGCCTTTTGCCTTGATACTTAAAAAAAAACCAAACCAACCCAGAGAACTCAGCACTGATTAAAACCAAGCCCTGTGGCAGCTTTGCAGCAGGACTTGAGTAAACAGAAGGAGCATCTTTCTTTTTTCTAAAGCATAAAGTTGTTTTCCTGGTGCTTAATTGAAGGTGTCTGTGGTGAGGTGTCTCTGTCACACCATCCCAGAGGGGTTTGGGTTGGGAGGGACCTCCAGGATCATCTCATTCCAACCCCCTGCCAAGGGCAGGGAATCTTTTTTTAATGTTTTTAAATAGTACCTTTCTCATTTATTTTTTTTTGCTTGTATTTTGCTGTGGTGATGAATTATTCTAGGTAAAGGATTTCTATAAAATAACAGTTTTAATATAAAAATAACAACTGTTATTTTTTTCCTGCTTTCCCTGTGCCGTTTGCTGCCTTTCCATCCTTAAACCTGGGTTAGGGACGTGGTCTTGGGAACAAGCCCCTGGGAATTTGAGCTCTGGGGGCTGGAGGTGAAGGCTGGGACACCCCAGGAATTCTTTGCTAATTCCCAGCCTGTGCCAGGGCCTCCCCACCCTCCCAGCCAAGAATTCCTTCCCAATATCCCACCTTGAGCCTTCCTTTTGTTTCTCATTGTGTGTGGGGAAATGGGGCTTTGGATTTTTTCATTCTTTTGGATTTTTTTTTATTGAAAGACTTGGAGCAAGTCCAGAGGAGATCACTGAGTACATCAGGGGGATGGAGGATCTCTCCCATCAGGAAGGGCTGGGAGAATTGGGATTGTTCAGCCTGGAAAAGAGGCTTTGGGGTGACCTCATTGCAGCCTTTCAGTACCTGAGGGGAGCCTACGAAAAAGATGGAGAGAGACTTTGGAGAAGGGATGGAGGGACAGGACAAGGGGGAATGGCTTCAAAGGGACAGAGAATGTGTTTAAATGGGATATTGGGAAGGAATTCCTGGCTGGGAGGGTGGGGAGGGGCTGGAATGGATTTCCCAGAGAAGCTGTGGCTGCCCCTGGATCCCTGGAAGTGTCCAAGGCCGGGTTGGAGCAACCTGGGCTGGTGGAAGGTGTTGGGGTTGAACTGGATGATCTTTAAGGTCCCTTCCAACCCAAACCATCCTGTGATTCTAAGAATTCCTGGAGCGTTCTCGAGCTTGGAAAACCTTGTGGAGTATTTCTGCTGGAAGAACGAGTGGTTTTGGTGCAGTGCTTTTACATCCCAGCCCAAGAGCACTTTACAAGACTAAAAAAAGGTGTCTGGAGGGAGAAACATTAGAGCTGTTCAACCCAGCCCTCTCCTCAAGTGGAGTCTGGGATGGCTTTTGGGGGAGGAATAATGGATGAGGTTACATGAAAGAACATCTCGGGGCTTGCCAATAATGATGAATTTATTGACTTCACTTTGGGGGGTGAGAAAATGAAATTACATCCACTTACACGGGCACCTGACATCTAAATACAACATCTTAAAGCATCTGAGCTCTTGCCTGGATCACTTTCTGACTCCTGAGTGATATTAAATGCACTGAAATATTTAACAAGTGTAAAATCTTTCAAGTCTGCCTGTAATTCCTAAAGCGATATCGATGGAAAGTAATTTGGTCAGACAACAAGGGTGGTTTTGTTGTTTTTTTTTTTGTTGGGTGTGTGTATTATCCCTAAAGCTTCAGTCAGAGCAGACAAAGGGAATGCTCTCATTCATTTTTGCTTAGTGGATGTTGGAAAATCCACTAATGGTTTATTATGGGGGGAAAAAAAAGGAATAATAAATGCTTAAATTCTCAGGAGTCTCAGCACCTCAGACAAGTTTTTTTTTCCCCCCTTTGCAGAAACAGATGATGTTGAGGACACATTTTTCCCTTTTTTTTAAGCTGTATTTGTTATTTTTGTCATTTTGAGAACAAACCAGTCAAGGACCATGTCACAAACCGTAATTATTGTGGAGTAAAACGAGCTGGTGCCTCCTCAGGAACTGGGTCAGACCTTTGCATTTTTCATGGCTTGATTTTTGGGGATTGATGTCTGTTTTTTTGGAGGGGTTGGTTTCTGTCTTTGGGTGGACTTTTGGTGGCCTGGGGTGTCTTGGCTCGCTCAGAAGGATCGTTGAGTTGTCCAGGAACGAGGATTTGAAGAATTAGGTCGTAACTGGAGAGACAACCAGGATTTAACTGAACTCTGGGAGAGCAAAATTCCGGAGAGAGCGGGTTGGTGGGGTCACATCAGAGGCAGATTTGAGGGAAGATGTGAGATCCTCAAGGACAAACCTCTTCCAAGTGGAAGAACTGTCCATTCCAGCCCTCAGCAATGTGAATGGATGTATTGGGAGGCTGGGCTGGTTCACCAGGGAGCTGCTAACAGAGCTTTGGGGTTAAAAATGAGCCCAGCATGAGGGGCAAGCCCAGCCAGGCTGGACAATGAGGGGATTTAGGGTCAGGAGAAGGCCCAGGTGTCTCACCTTCACCTTCAGCAAGGTGCTCAGCTCTCCCAATATCCTTGGATCCAGGTTGGGATAACTCAGGATTACAAACCTTGGTTGGATGTGCAGGGTCGGAGGATTGTGGCTGCTGGGTCAGACTCTCCCTGGAGCTGCTGGAGTGGGATTCTGCAGGAGTGGAACAGCTTTATCCACGTCCTGGAGCAGGAGGTGGAGTAGAGGCACTTCCACGCAGGTGATCCCAAATTTAGGGGGCAGTTGGAGGGCAGGGCTGTTCTCCAGAGGGACCTGGAATGGCTGGAGGAACGAGTTAAATCGAGCAGAGAAGGTTTTGAGGAAGCCCAACAGCAGCATTCCCAGAGCTCTGGGGATCATTGGGAAGCTGGTTCTTTGAGGAAGCCCAACAGCAACATTCCCAGAGCTCTGGGGATCATTGGGAAGCTGGTTTTTCATGGTGCTGATTGTGTGAGGGCAGGAGCTGGTGGATGTTGAACCAGGAGAGTGGAAATAAAGAATAACTTTGCCAGGATGAGACCAGGGAGGCTCTGGAAGGATTTTCCTGGTGACACTGCCCAGTCTCCATCCTTGGAAGCTTTCAAGGTGGGCATGGAAAAACCCTGAGCAACTTGGGCTGATGCCAGGAGCAGAAAGGTTGACAAAATAACTTCCTGTGGCCCCTTCCATCCTGAAGGATTCCGTGGTTTGGGTGTGGAATTTTGGATCCTCTGAAGGTGAGAAGGGACCACTGGGACCACCTGGACTGGTCTCCTGCCACGTGCAGCCCCTGAGAACTTTGACACCAGAGTCATTGCCCTCGTTCCTTGTTTGTTTTTTAGGGAGATTTCTCTTTACTGAATTTTTTTTTAAGAGTTGCAGCATGTCCTGAGGATATTTAATAATTATGGATAGTCGGGTACTGCGTGGAAAAAGAAGTAAAAGTGGAATAGCTGATGATCAGTGTTGTTGGAGGCTCTGCAGCATTGCCTGTGACTTTGAATTCTGTGTTCTCAGTTTTTATGAGTGTCTGGAAGTTTACAGAGTTTGCCTAAATTTGTGCCAGTTGAGCAAGAACCCTCTGCAAATAAACCCCGTCGGTTCTTTGCCCTTTGAGGCATTAATTGCTCGTCCATCCTTTTGTTGCAACAAGATTTTTTTTTCCTCTGTGTAAACTGAAAGATGAACTGACATTTGTGATTTTAATTGCTAGGATTCCCCTTATTTTTAGAAAAGGAAAAAAAAAAACAAACCAGGTTTAGCAGTGCTGGGGTTGATCCCCTTTGCTGGGAGTGAAAGCTCAGGCAGTTCCATGTGGATTTACCCCCTTCCTTCAGGATCCAGGAGAGCTCGGGCTCTGCTTTTGGTGGGGTTTATTTGTTCCCCTCTGGGCGTCCTCATAAAGGGTTTTAAACTTTAGTGATCCTTTAAACCTGACATAAATCAGGTGGGAATCCTCAGGCAACACATTGGGACCACTGGAAGCCTGGAAAGCCATGATTTGAACATTATAGATTAATATTAATATTAATAATAATGGTACATTGCCACAGCATTGTCACAGATAACTTTTATTTGCAATTATATGTATTGATATTTTTTTGGGCTAAAGGTTCACTCTTGATGGGAGGGATTTTATTATCCAAAGGTGAAATGTTTTGTAGCTTCACTGCAGGTGCCAAACTTCAAGTGCTGTCAGAGCAACAGCAAATCTTCAGTGCAGCCTGACATTCCTGTCACTGCAGGAGGAGAGGGAAGGTGGAATTCTGCAAGGGAGTGAAGCCAGGAGTGCAGAAATGAAGGATTTGGTGTCTGTGTGACATGGGAGGGGTTCTGGGGAGGCCTCTGGGCGTGTCCTCATGAAACGGAGCTGAAATTAGGCTGGAAAACCAACAAATGATGTTATTGA